GGTCTTAGCAAACGATGGTTAACATTGAGAAGAATGAGAATCCCAGAACACTTCATTATGCTCATGCAAAATCTATACCCAAATCAAAAGGCTTAACAGAGCAAGAGAACACGGCATGGTTTAAAATCAAGAAGAGTGTGCATCAGAGTTGTATACTTTCTCCATATCTATTCAATCTGTATGCTGAGCACATAATTTGTGAAGCTGAACTCTAGAAGAAGAATGTGCCATCAGGATCAGTGAAGGCTCATCAACAACCTGCATTATGTAGATGACACAACCTTGCTTTCTGAAAGTGAGGAGGATTTTAAAAGCTGCAGAAGACCAAGAACTACAGCCTTCAGTGTGGATTACATTTCAACATCAAGAAAACCAATGTCCTCTCCACTAGACCAATAGGCCACACCATGATAAATGGACATAATATTGAAGTTGTCAATTATTTCATCTTATTTGAATCAACAATAAACATTCTTGGTACTAATAGTCAGAAAATCAGGAGACATATTTGTGTTAAGAAAGGCTGCTGTTAGGGATCTCTCTAAAATAGTGAAGAGCATTAATGTCCGTTTGAAGACTAAGATGACCTGATTGAAGCCATGGTTTTTTCAATAGTTTGCTCTGCATCTGATAGCTGGGCAATGGATAAGAATGACAGAAGAATTGATGCTTTTGAGTTGTTGTGCTGAAGAATAGTACTCAATATCCCATAGACTGTGAAAAGAACAAACACATTTCTTGGAGAAGGTACAGCCAGAGTGCTCCTAAGAGGGAAGAATGATGAAACTTCATCTCACATGCTTTGAGTATGTTGCTTGGAGAGGGACATCATGCTTGGAAAGTCAAAGAATTAGTGAAAGAGAGGAAGACTCCTGTAATGAAATGGATTGACAGTGACTGCAATGATGGGCTCAATATATCAGATGATGAGAATGGCACAAGATAGGAAAAGGTTTATATGTTGTTGATAGGACCACTATAAGTCATACTCATCTCAGTGACACCTAACAACAAGAAGTGAAATGAAATCTTTGTTGAACTCATTCATTCACTTTGCCTTCGAATTGGAACAGATTCAGATTTGTTGAACTCACCAAATGGGTGGGGGTTTTTTTGTTTGTTTTTGTTTTGTTTGTTATTTTTCTTTTCATTTGGAGCCAAAAATCTCAATGACCAAAACAAATCTTTATTTTTGTGTAACTGTGTAAATGTGATCCAATGTGTCCACTGCTAGGTTTTCAGAAAGAAACATGCTATAAATAAGCAAACTACATCTGCTCACAAACGTGTATGGACTCCTCAGATGTCGCATCAAGACCTCTACTTACAGACCACTCACAGTAGGACATTTTTAGTATTAAGTGTAGCATGATGTTAAGCCGTTGCAGCTTTTGCACATACATGTTGCACTTCTGGCTGATAATGCAGGAAATTTTGCAGCATTATACTGTGAAGCAAGGTTGCATCCAGCACTTTAAATGGCATCAATATCAATGTCATCATCTTTGTTGTCAGACTTCACAGTTTCAACTTTAGGTACACTGGCAGTCTTCGAATATACCACCTCAATATTTTCATCTTCATCTTCCTCTTCACCACCAGAAGATTCCTCCTCTGCCTCCTTCAACCATTTTATAAATGGTTCTGCTTTCACACGGATCTCCTTGGCAAATTCTTTTGAGACATACTTCTTGGAGGCCTTCTCCGACCAGCTGATGATTACCTCCTCTTCCAGAAGGTCTGCATCATACATCTCCTTCAGGATGTGTGGGATCTTGGAGAGGAGCTGTGCCTGGTGCAGCTACCACACACTCTAAACCATGGAGAAGGTACCGCTGAGCTTTTTTGTTGTTGTGACAAAATCGTAAAAAATGGCGCCTGTATTTCTTGATTTGTTCTCTTATCTTCTCATTAAAAAGAACTTCAGTCAAAACAAGAGGGCCCATAGCTTTCACATCCAGCCTTTACGCTTCAGCAACAATCTCTTTGTCAGACAAATCAATAATTCTCTCTTCTTTCTTTTTCTTAACAAAATCAAACAAAATGTTGACTCGTTCTTCAGTGGTCCGCTCCAAATCATCACTAAGGGTCAGAACTTTTGCGTGGTCACTGATTTCATCCATTCTGCGCCTCGGGGCTTCCTCTGTTGTATCCTCTCCACAGTCATCATCTTCCTCTTCTTCCAGAGCATGGGGAGGAGGGCTGATGTCATGTGGAGGTGGAGGTGGAGGCGTCTCACTGCTGGACACAGAGCCGTTCTCCTTGTCCTTGCCCTTTCTGGTTTTCTTTTCCTTTTCTTTCTTAGCTGTGCCACTGTCACTATTCTCAAGTGGGTTTTTGAGAATGAAAGTGCAGAGTTTATGATGAGTGTCAAGCAGGCCTCTGTAGCCACAGGCTTTACGAGAATTCCCTATTGTTTGTCTCTTTGGATTGACATGAAGATCTGTTTCAGGATTCTAGCACTCAGGACAGAGAACAAATTTTTTTTCTATAATTATATTTTATTAATTTTCATAAACATTTACAGAGATTTTGGGTTTCCATTCATTCATTGTTGCACTATTC